CAGTGTGTGAATGGGTGGATGACTGAATGTAGTGTAAAGCGCTTTGGGGTCCTTAGGGACTAAGTAAAGTGCTATACAAATACAGGCCATTTACCATTTTTTACCATTTATCTGAACACAGAAGAGTGTTCTGCTTTACCTTAGTGGATTTTCAATAAGCTTTCACCCAGGTGTTTCTGGATTATGTTCACATTTGGCTTCTTTGCATGACAGAGCTTTAACCACCGCGGCATGGCAAACTGTGTTCCTGAGTCCATGTAGTGATTACCTTGACATAATCCTGCCGTCTGAGTGCTTGGAGGTCATGCGCATCCAATATTGATTTTATGGCTTGACCGTTGCGAGATTTCTCCAGATTCTCTGACTCTTTTGTACTGTACATGAGGAGGAGCAGCATCACTGTGAAACTGTTCCATAATTAACAGGCACAGTGTTTTGCAGATTGGGGAAGATCTGTCCACTGTTACTTCTGAGAAACGATGCCTCTCTAAGATGCTCCTTTTTACTCAGTCATGCTACCAGCATGTTGGCACTTACTTTACCTCGTCAATGTTTTCCTTAAAAACAAACAGAAGTTTTGCTTGATTTACTCTGCTCTGCACTAGTGTTGCTTTTCATCCACAGATAAAAATCATTTTTATCTTACCCTGGGTCTTGACACAGCTGTTCTGATTGGGTGCTGTAGCCTCTGGTTTTAATGACATGTGGGATGGTGTGTGGCTATTTACCACAAGAGGGACATCCACACTTAGTGGCATCATTTAGAGCAGGGGTAGGCAACTCCAGGCCTCAAGTGCCGTTGTCCTGCAGGTTTTAGATATCACCCTGTGTCAACACACCTGAATCAAATCATTAGTTCATTCCCAGGCCTCTGGAGAACTTCAAGACATGTTGAGGAGGTGATTTAGCCATTTGAATCGGCTGTGTTGGATCAAGGACACATCTAAAACCTGCAGGACACTGGCACTCGAGGCCTGGAGTTCCCTACCCCTGATCTAGAGGCAAGAGCAGAAAACCACTGGCTGAAACAGTGTTTAAAGCAGTCTGAAGCCTTTAATTTGTCTCACAAGGATTACTTGTATTTACACTGGCCTTATTATTTCAAACACCTTTAATGTAATCATTGCATTTGTTATATATATATATATATATATATATCTTATATACTGTTTTTGAATTTAATAGTAAAAAAAGAAATCTACAGAAAAAGCCCAACCCAATAGGTACTGTTTTACAAATTAGCCTCAGAGCAGTTGCGGTCCAGCAGACAGTTTTGTTCCGTGGGAGCATGTGACCTTTTCTTCAAACCCCTTGCTGCTACAAACACTACATACGGACACATTTGAGTCATTTTGGATTCAAGGCACATCTGCCAGTACATTTCCTCAAGTACTCGACTTTTAAAGCAGCACATTTATGATACGGGAGCAGATTTCTTATACCATCCATCCATTCGCTTCCGCTTATCCTTTTCAGGGTTGCGGGGGGCGCTGGAGCCTATCCCAGCTGTCATAGGGCAAGAGGCAGGGTACACCCTGGACAGGTCGCCAGTCTGTGGGGATAGATTAATTGGATAATCCAAATTGTCACTAGGTGTGAATGTGCGAGTGAATGTGAGTGCGAATGGTTGTCTGTCCCTGTGTGTTTGCCCTGCAGATTTCTTATACGAAGCTGCTTATAAAAAAAAATAAAAATGTTTGCTTTTGATACATTATAAAATTCAAACTAAAGCAGAATAGATGAATTCCAGTGAACAGATAAGAACTCAGTACATCCTCCTCAGCTCAGTAGAGCTTCACTCTTTGTGGAGGAATCTGGGTCAAACAGTCTGGATGAGTAGCAGCAATGAGCGAATAGAATACCTACAAGGAGGGGGAGGTGTTTTAAACTGAGAGGCTGAGTGTTCATGCATGTGTGCAGGGAGGTTACGTTTTCAACTCTTTTATTTTTAATAGATTTTATTAATGATATATAATAGAGAGGCAAGGAAGATGGGACAGGTCGTCAGGTAGGAGTGCTGGGTCCAAAGAGACTTCTAATTGATATGGAGACGGATGAGCTGGAGACTGCTTACAGGTCAGGACCCGGAAACCTCAGTTATGCTGTCAAACATGGTCAGACTACCACGCTGCTTATCGCTGACCATGTCTGTATTAATCTCCATATTCTGCATTGAAATTATATAATTGAAAAAATCTCACTGAAAGGCAGAAACTGATTTTTATACACAAACATTTTATTCAGTTAAATAAAGCATGGATCTAATAAGAACAGAGGTGGTGTGAAACATGGAAAAAGTGTGGCTGGTACTGAGTCCTATCAATTATCAAGACACAAAGAGAAACAAACCCAGATTTAAAACATTGTAAAGACTGCTCTGCATTTAATAAAAAAAAAAAAAAAAAAAATCAAAAAAAAAAAAAAAAAAAAATCATAGCTTGTCTGACTTCAGCTGTTTCTTACAGCACACTAAAAAAAGAAGAAAAAAAGGGGGGGGAAACACAACAACAAAAACCCCACACATACAGACTCTACAAGATTACTTTTCATGTCCAGTTCAGAGTGAACAGGAGAAGCTGAATGTGACAAACACAGCTGCTAAATAAATGATGGAGAAAAGTATGTGTATGAGAGTGTGTGATTTTTTTTGTATTCTTTTTTTGGGGGGGGGAGGGGGATTATTTATTTTATTTTATCTACAAGCTGTATTCGAGCTCATAGCGGACGTAGACATTTTTGTCATCGTTGTAGACCTGTGGGTAGTGAGCAATCAGGGCGTCCTGAGAGCCGATGTAGATGGAGTTGTAGATCTTCCAGTAGACGTCCCTCACTTTCCTGGCTGGATGGAACAGACCCTGCAGAACGCCAGACAGTTTGAGTTTACGCTTCATACAAACACAATGATTCAAACTTTTAAAGTTAGGCCCATTTTAACCCCCAGGTAACCAGAACTTAGTCAAAACTGCTTCTGACTCTTTGTCTCTGTATCTGTTTATCTCTCTCTAAAGAAAGAATTAAATATTCACCCGTGAAAAGCAGCACAGAGAGCAAAGCTGGATTTCCACTGGAACAGCTGTAAATCCCAGCACTGCTGAGGGCTTAAAGAAGCTCTAATCTTCTGTCATGCATACAAGATGCAGCTCTCATTGCTTTACACTTCACACACTATACTGCAGGTGATGAGTAGAGTATAACCAGTAAATGATTTAGCCACATGTAGTAACACACAAAGTGTGAATTCAGATTAAGAGGTCGAGGTAAACAGCATCTACAATGTTGACAAAAGGTTCGAACCTTCTGTCAACATTGGAAAATACTTGCATTTTGGTAGTTTGTAGAAATATGTGGAAGTGTTACTGCTGTATGAAAGCTGAATAGATTCATGAAAAAGTCTTTATGGAGCTAAGCTATGTGATGTTTGACTCCTCATTAGTGCTGAGTAAAAGAAGAACACTTCTCCATGTTTACACAGCAGAGCTCTATCAAATATCTTCCCTCTTTAACTTTACTGTGTAGCTCTTAAGAGACGTGTTTATATTAAAATGCAGCTGTATGAGTAACTCCATTTCTTGTCCCGGTCTGCTCTCTTGTGGTTGTAGCATGTGCATGTTTGAATCTGTGTGACTTTTCTGTATGAATAATCTTTTAGGTGACAGCACTAGTGTGCAGACAAAAATCCTGACACACATCTTTTTTTTTTTTTTTCATAATTCCAATTTCTGGTCCTGACCTGTAAGCAGTACTGCAGCATGCGGCAGGGCCCAAGAGCGACCCTCAGCCCCTCCAAAGCGCCCATCACAGCCTGGATGACGTGAGGTGACGTCTCAAATACGTTGGGCCACACGTAGTTCAACAAGTGGTTGAGGGAGTCCTCACAGCCAAAACCGTAGACACCGAGGGACATGTGCTGAACCACAGCGCTGGCTGTCTGTCTATGGACCAGGTCTCTGCAGGGGAGGGCAGAACACAGAAACACATAAGGTGCAGGATTCACTCTGATGTCTTTAACCCTCACGTGTGGGTAAAGAGTTTGAAAAGATATGAATACTTCCCCTGCCACAGTTTTTATCAAAACTAATCAGTCAAATTAAACCATGCTGATACCTGTCCATAAGAGCATCCTCCAGCAGCGGCGTGACGGCATAGATGTAGTCTTTGCCCATCTCTCCAATGTACTCGAACAGGAAGGAGAGGGACTTCAGTACACCGTTTTGCACGTTGAGCTCAGGCACGCGGTATTCGTTCATTAGGGCCGGCAGCACCGTGAAGGGTGAACAGGTCTCAGCAACGATGGCGATGGCCACAGTCGTGCAGACCCTGTTCTGTCGCTCCTGGACTTTAAGGTTATTGAGAAGAGTGGCCAAGACATCATGAGGACTGCAGGGAGGAAGGTCAGAGAGAAAAACATTTTAGATCCACTTTAATGTGTACATAAGCCGAGACAAAACGAACATGAAACCTTACATGTAAAAGGTGTGTACGTGACAGAAGGTACTCACCCGATGGCTTTGGCGATATAACCAAACGTGTTGACGGTGGCTCTGCGGATGGCCTTTTTGTGTGCCTTGAGCAACTCCAGCAACTCAAAGCAGATCCTCATCCACTCCCTGGCAGACACATACTCAGCACCCCTAAAAATACACATAAAAGTTAGAAAAGGACACAATCATATCCACAAACCTTGAGGTTGAGGCTTGTCACCACTGACCTGTCAGCGATCCTGCCCACCAGGTCGATGCAATTCTCCTGGACTTTCTCATGTCTGTTCTTCAGGATGGGAGTCAAACGAGGAAGCAGGTCTTTGATTGGTGGGGTCATCTTGTGCATGCCTAAAAATGAGGTCAGATATCAGCACGGGTCCTTTTCCACACCCTGAGATGGGACTGAGGTGCAGGTAAATTTTGTTACTTAGAACAGAACAAGAGGTGGGAAGATGTTACTGTAGCTGTTGCTACATTTTTACTACCAAACTCTCAAAGGTGCACTGATTGCTATTGAGCTTAAATGACAGTCAAACTCTGTACCAAAGCCTAGTACAGAGCCTAGGGGCTCTACGAATTAATTTTTAAATATTTTTTTATAACTCATCCACCGAGATACAAGAATTAGGAGGGTCGCGCCTGTAACTGCCTGCTACGCCTTCAGCGGTTTCAGTTGTGGTGAGTGTTCTAATACAAATTAGCAGTTATGTGCATCTGTGTGAGACAGCTGTCCACTTTATGAATGCTGCTTGCTAGTGTTAGCTGATAGCTTAGCATTCCACCCTCTTGTGTAACAATGATCACTTTTGGCTCCAAAAGGAAGACGGAAGCAGTCAAAACTAACAACTGTGAAGTTCAGGAACCAAAATGAGACCAAATGTGAAGACGTTTATTTACATCCTATCAATAAAATACGCCTGTGATCGGTGAAGGTTACATACCAATAACGTTCACAATGGCCTTCAGCGCTCCAAGAATGCTGCCCAGCACCTCAGGGTACTCCTCTCCCAGATACTCGTACAGCACGACTCCCAAATGACCCATTAGCTTCTCCTGTGGGGACAGGGACAAGCAGAAGAGGTCAGTGTGTAGACTCTGTTACATATTTGTCTCGGATGCTGTATAGGCTGAATGTACCTCCTGGCACGTCTTCATGACCACGGCCGTGCGGGAGATCAGGTCAGCAGCTTGCTGACGGACCTTGGCCGACTTGTTGTTGAGACGCCACAGTACCGTACCGCAGATCTGTGGCAGGTAGGGTTTCACGCGCTTCCCAAGAGCATTCACCACTGTACCGAAACCATTCAGCATGACAGAATCCTGCAGACCAAAGAGCATGGAGTATGAAACAAAACAAGAAACAAAATATTGTGGGGAAAAAAAACAGAAACAAAAACCCACTTCTCTATAACTCCCTCTCACCTCTGTCGTCTGTTCCTGGAAGGCATACAGAATACCGTCGATCAGCTGCTCCTCCAGCTTGTGGTCGATGTCAGCTGCGCCCAAGTTGCCCATGATTTTTTCAATGGTCTCCATCACCATCTTCCTGTACTGTTCTGCCTCGTCTTTTAGGTCATCAACGATACGTGAGATGATCTCTGCTGCTCCCACTTTGTTAGCCAACTCCACTGTGGTGTCCACCAGCTGGACAAAGAGATAATAACTTGAGACGAGTGTGCAAAACTTCAGACAACTCTAAGGACACGGTGTGTTTAACTGCCGACTAGATTATAACCTAAATGTCTATTTGAGTTGTGTGATCAGATCTCTTGGTCTATTTTGTGCACACCATTATTTTCCACCGATAGAGTCACATGACAGGCAGACGACAGAGTCGGCTGAAGCAATTACAGGAAAGTCCTGATTATGAAGTTGTTAATTGGTTACAGGAAATAACCAACTCCACGTAACACAGATTACATTCCTCATCTCATATAGGGCTGCCACGATTAGTCGACTAGTCACGATTACGTCGACTATCAAAATCGTCGACGACTAATTTAATAGTCAACGCATTGTTTAAAGCTTTGCAAGATCCCAAAAGAAGCAGGAATGAGTAGTAGGATTTAAGAGTGTAATAACGGACTGAAACAGAAGATGGCAGCACTGCATGTACAAGGATGCCAGCTGCCGTTAAACCCCGAAGAAGAAGAAGCTGTGCCCGGTATCGTAGCTGTGTCCAAATTCAGGAACCGCATCCTCCAGTGCCCGCATTTGTTGGCCGATTACATTACAGCGACACGACAAAGACTGTCCAAATTCAAAGACTCCGACAAATGCGGCCGACAAATGCGCCCTTCATTTCCCCAGATTTGAAGGATGGGTCGGTTGTATACCTGCTCAGTTTCCAACAATGGCGGCAGCTAGTTAGTTTTAATATTACTCTTATTACTCTTTCTGGGCACAAAATAAACGTTAAACATATTTTCAGGTGAGAATGTAGCTGTGTGAACTTCAAATATCTGCTCGGTTTATCAAGACACCACATATTTTCAAAAGCGCGCCAACGTTTTCGGAGACATCTGTTACCCACTAGCTCGATAGCTAGCCGGGGTTCAAGGCTCACAAGAGCCGGCGAGAACACCGGACTCCCGGCAAATCGTTTTCAAACCCAACGCCGTCTTTCACTACTCAGGTTAAACATGATATACAAGTCACTTAGATAACTTAAAAATTTTATTGTTTGGCTTTTTTTAGTATTTTATTTGCTCCTGAGTAAATCAGTTTGGCTGAGATTAAAGTTATAGTTTTTACACAGCTCAATAAACGTCAAGCAGACAACTGATTATCAGAAGTGTGAGATGGTTGAGAATTTACTCCGGTGTCCTGTTATATTTTTGATAGCAAGGAGCAGACGGCTGAGTTGATTAAACTCCACCAAAACAATCTGCAAATTTCATTAAAATTTAATAAACTATTATCTTGTCTTTATTTTTAGTTAGCACATACCTTAAACACTTCTAGCTGTAAGCTAATGATAGTTATATAAGAGCAGATGCATGCTGGTGCAATAAACTGTACGTTTTACGTCCAATGGACACATGATCTGATTAGTCGACTAATCGCAAAAATAATCAGTGACTAGCCGACTATCAAAATAATCGTTTGTGGCAGCCCTAATCTCATACATCCAAAACACAAAACAAAAACAACAAAAAACCCACAAACGGGCTACGATCAGCAGTTTTAGGAAAAAGAGCCAACCACACATTTCCTTTTCTAAGCTATTTTGACAATATTAGATTTCCAAATATATTTTAAGCTAAAGAATGTTTCGCGAACCTGTCTGTAGTTGCGTCTGTCCAGAGCCATCCTGTGCTGCCAGAAATGCTTGAAGAAGGGGGGCAGGATTTCAGTCTTGATGTAGTTGGCCTCGACACCATCTGTGCCACAGCACTGCTTCACTACCTATGAGGCAAGACAGAAGGAAAACTGATGAGTTTCTTGTGACATCCAGAAAGATACGTTAATGTAACCAATGGGTGCAGAAAGACAGCAGAGGGGACATGCTAGCAGCTGCTCTGGCAATCCTGGTGCTCATGTAGCAAACAATGTTCATCACCTATGTGGCTGAAGAGGTGAGAACGAGTTACAGGAAGTTAGTTGACAGTTTGGAGGTGCTTCCTCACAGACTGTCTCCTTACCTTGAGCACAATCTTTTTCATCTCCTCGTCAGGGGACTGAAACTCTCTGATGAGGATCAGCATCACCTCTCTGGTGTAGTAGTTTGCATACTCAGCATCCATCAGTGGGATGAGGTAACCAATAGCTTTGAGGAAAGCAGCCAGACCCTGGTGACCAAAGGGGATAACATAAGACACAATCGCAGACATGTTTCACATATTTTCCCTTTACAATAACTGGTAATGTCCGACGCTCCCAGCAGCATATTAATGGTCTCTCATTAGACCTCTGCTGACAGCAGCAGCTCCTTTGAGGAGACTATATAGCAAGCAAGTATTCACACTGCAGCCACAGGCAGGCTTAGTGCTGGGTGCTGATCTTGCACTCAATGCTGTGAATGCTTTTTCCAAATTTCCTGCTCACCTTTCCTCTGTGTTGCCTGATGCCTTTCCACAGTGGCTTCAGCACAGAGTCAAAGGACTCGATACCGTATGGTGTGGCAGCTTCAGCCAGGGCAGCTATAGCCAGGGCACTGATGGTCCTCACCTTCTGCTGCTCGTCCACAAGCCCTGCAGAATCGAATAGTCGATGGTCAGAGCTCCAATGCATTTTAACAACAACAGCAAACCACGTATACTCAAAACATCTCATGTGAATGAAAAATTGAGCAAATTAGCAGTTACACATTTACTAGTTAGAATAGTTAAAGGTGTACACCTGCATTCTGTTCAAATTCACAAACTATGAACTAACTCATCCACATAATAAGCCAGTGGATGCCAGTGCTTTGAACTCTGTACTATTTAACGCTACAAACAGTTTAAGTTCACTTACCATGTTCAATAATCTCGACCAAACTGCGAAGGTGAGGCAGAATGGCGCAGCCCATGAGGATGGCGATTTGCTGCACAATCTTGATGCCTGTGTGCCGAGCCTGCCAGGACTTCTTGCTTTTACATACAGCTTTCAGGAAAGGGAGGAGAGAGGGGATCCCGAGGGCGGAGGCTACAACAGCAAAGGCTCGGGCGGTGGTGTTTCTGACGTACTCGTCCATGTTGTCAATATCAGGTCGCATCGTGGAGATCATAGTAGCTAAACCAGCAGCCTGAGACACACAGAGGAAAGACAGCAAGCTTTCAATCATTTAACCACACAAAGCCAAGTTTAAATACTGCTACAGATCAGAGATATGCTGAGCAGACATGGTGACAGAATATAAACAGCTAATGATGGCGGATTGTAACCAGCGGGTGCAGGTTGAGAACAGACGAGGCATAAAAGTCACGTCTGCTAGCTCTCATGCTGGTATTAATCTAGCGAACAACTAGCCCTGATCTGACCACTGACTGGCTGAACAGGCGAGAATGGTTCGCACAAACCACAGTCCATATAGTTTATGGGATAAAAAGACAAAAAGAATAAGGTGCTCCATGTTACCTTTGCCAAGTTAGAGATGATCTCTCTGCCTTCCACTCTGGCATAATAGTCTTCATCGATGAGCAGCGGCTCAATAACCACCAGAATCTGCATGCAGAAAAAGGACATTTAGATTGTCAAAGACACTGAGAAACCACTGAACATTTAAACTGAGCTGTCACAGATGATCGTTCACATTGAGCCCACCTTGTGAACATATGGTCGGACCAGGTCATCCAGTTTGTAGAGAATGCGGTCAATGACTTTAACCAAAAGATGGCGCTCCTGATCCTCCAGGGTGGGGGACATGAGCAGGGGCAGGATCTGGTTGAACAGGGGACCTGCTCCGAATTCACGAGCCTTATCTGTGATCTGACGCAGAGCAGCCTAAGAGGAAAGAGAAGGTCAGCCAGTCAGATAATGGTCAAATTCTGAAGTATATTTGGCAAATCTGTTACTAAACAACACAGGAGAGACTTCATACTCAAAGAAACCTGAAAGAAAAACTGTAAGAGAACTCTACAAAGATGGTGACAGACTTATAATTTGCAGACAGGAAAAGTTTTTTAAAACCTTATTTTGGGGCAAAAATCAGCAAAACTTTTTTAAAAGTCAGATTTGAAGCTGGGGTTTTTTTCCTCTGTGAACTGTGATTAAAACTGTAGAGGAACCTGGTACTTGTCATGATAAGATGAGACCGGGTGGTTTCTGTGTGCAGCTTACAGCAGAGCATGAAGGTCTACACTGTGACCTCTGCTGTAAGCAGCAGCTCCTCAGAGAGAACGTTGTGTAACAAGCAAATATTCACCCTGTAGCCACAAAACCTCGGTGCTGGGTGTTGATCTTGTAACTGGAAACTTTAATGCTGTTCCAAAGTTTGGCCACAAGCAAGAATGATTAATCAAAGTATTAAAAACCAACCTTTCTCATGGGAGGAGTTCCATTTTTAATCTTCAGCAGCAGCTTCATAATCTTCCTTTCTTTCTGCTCCTCGGGGCTCAGAGTGGACTCATCCACCTCCACCTACCACCAAGACAAAAACCATGAACCTCAGACACAACAAACACCTGGCTCACACTGACTGTGCCATTATTTTATCTCTGCTGATGCTCACCAGCAGTTTGTCAAAGTACTGGATGTCATCAGGTTTGAGGAAAGGGAGATTTCCTGAGGGCTGGTCGTTCATCTGTTTTGTGGTGCGATCCTCTGCCTGCATATGGAAGCCCGTCATGCCTCCAATAGGTGTGGGCGTGGCTGCCAGCTTACGGGCCGGGGTACGGATAGGCACGTAGCCTGCAGGAGGAGGCAACACCTGTGAAGAAAAACACCTGTCAGCACTGCAGTCTAATAAATGACCTTCACTAATGCTTGTTGCTAGAAAATGAAATGCATCAAATAGACGTGGACCTTGTATCCCTCTGGGAACATGGCATCCAGCTCCTCGTCTGTTAGAGGTCGGTTCCTCTCATCAATTTCTCTCTCCCACCTCCATGCCTGCAGCTGCTCTGGAGTCATGTGTGCTGAAGAAAACGGGAGATTAATTGTTTATAATCAAGTAGAAGAAAGACTAATAATAATAATAATAATAATAATAATAATAATAATAATAAGTAATATAATTTATTATAATAATATTAATAAAAAACAAAGAGTAAGGCTGTTTACCTGTAGTTGGGGTTTGCAATTCCATAGCTGGTGTGCCTATGGGAGTTTTTCCTGGGGTAAAAAGTGGTGTTGAGGAGCCCATCTGGCTGGCAGGGGTTTCATCCCACCGAGACTTCCTCTTACTGGCTCCTGGAGTCGGAGTTTCACCCACTGACTCTTCCCCTCTATCTGTTCTTGGAGTCTCAGCCCAGCCGCTCCCATGTCCTGGGGTCTCCCTCTCAGTCTTTGGAGTCTCGTCCCAGCGGTTTTTGCGAACGCTTCCTGTGGCTCCCCCGTGACCAGGTGTGGCATGGCCAGGCGTGTCTCTCCCTGGTGTGGCAGCACCGGCAGGTGTGTGGCTAGGAGTCGGGTCCCACATTCGGGAACTGGGAGTGGCCCCTGGGGTTTCACTGCCTTTAGGGCGGCCGGGGGTTTCATCCCATCGGCTGTTTGAAGGTGTGTGCGCAGGGGTATGTCCAGGAGTCTGCAAGGGACCAGAAACCTCAGTGAGAAAACTGATATGCAAGACAGATTTATGTTTTATCACTGGGTGATATTTTTTAAGCTTACTTCAGCACTGGCATCAGCTTGGTCCCAGCTGGACATCTTTTTGGGTGTAGCATTGGAGGGGGTTTGGTCAGCTGTCTGGTCCCAGCGACGCTTACGTTTAGGGACAGCTTGGGCAGCAGCAGACCCATTAACAGCTTTCAGGTCCCCTGATTTGGCCTTCTCTGCCAGCTGCTGACGAATCTCTCTCTACATGAACAGATGCACAAATGTCAGGATAAATACAGAGTTCATGGATATGAAAGACTGTAAAGATATCTGGCGACTGTGTCTGTTCATTTTATCTAAACAGAGACAGGTCGACAGTTCAGCCAAGGGCATAAAGGCTTAAAGAACTCATTTGAAAATGATGAAATTTCTATGAATCCCGTTACAGCCTCACACCCAAGAGCTCAACTCCACTGAACACCTATGGATTATTTCATACAGATGGCAGCAAGTCTCAAAAAGCTTGATTTGATTTGTGCTGCGGTGTTGTTTGCATGTGCACATGTGTGTGAATATGAATGGCACACACTTTGTTAAAATTAATAATGAAATAATTTAATTTAAATTTTTCTCCGCTGAAAATATTTCATTTGTCAATTACTTTATGACTAATAACTTGGCGACATAAGCACCTTCTCCAACAGGGAGTCTCACATTCTGTGGATTAACTTTGGATTCACTGAACTTCAGCTGGTAATAGTAGTCCTTGTTCTGCAGCCATACTGAGTTTGAGGGTAGCAGTAAATGAAGTCCTCCATCTGTGGCAGGTTGCAGTTATAGCCCCTTTTCCATTAGTTCCTACTCGGATCGACTCGTCACGGTTTGCCACAGTTTTCAATTAAACCTTAGTGCCTGTACCATTTTTTAGTACCTGCTTGGCAGAGTGTCCAAGTGATCTGAGCAGGTACTAAAATGTGGCGCCATCACGCTGCCGTGGCATCACTCGATGAGTCATGAGTGTCTCCTGCCATTTTTGAAATCCAGGAACGAGGGAATCGGCTGCACAGAAACAACAACGCGGCCCCTGATGATAAGTCTGATGGAAAGCCACAGACCGAGCAGCAGGTATGCCGTCATCTTGACGTTCACCTTTGTTGTGGTGTTCATTTCGCATACAAATAACATCATGGGACGTACAGCCACGTTGCTATAACAACCCCACACACATTACGCGGTACTCGATTATACTGAAAAACGAGTCGAGCCGATCAGAGTAGGTATTAATGGAAGAAGCGCTTCAAGAGAAGAAAAGGGACCACTGCAAGTGCAGTTTACAACAGTGGAGATGAGTCCTCACTATACCAGATCATCTTTGTGGCAGTGATCTGATATTACAGACACTGTGTTGGTTTGGCAACCATATAAACACATCAAGCAGGAAAGAAGGATTTACAAGGAGTGTTTATTTTTCCAGGTTTAGTTAAAATTAGCCTTAAAGGACTGTCATCTGACCGTTTCTGATATCTGATGATAATGTGTAGATACACAGCATCTTACCTCCTCTTTGGACAGGTTCTGCTCCAACATGACGTCCACATACGACCTAACCTGCAGCTTGGGATCCGGTGTTTTGCCCCCTGCGCGAAAGAGCATGAACAAGAACATAGGATACTCATCAGCGTACGCTCCACAACCCCAAGTTATTCCACACACAGCAAGCACAAACACAGCCAGCTAACCCTGACTCTTGTTACCAACAGTTTAACTTATGTTCCTGCTCTGATAAACAGCTGACTGACAGTCCTAATAAATTACATACAAATGTACATTTGGCTTTCTTACATACAGTCATAGCATTCTAATGAAAAACAAGAAGATACATAGAAAGAAGAGCTGAGGTTGTGGTGTTTTCTTTAAGTGGATTAAGAAGTATAGCCATCACTGATGCAGGGGTCCTGGGCTGTGCTCTTCAGAATACGTACACTTTCAGTGCCAAGGGTCCATCTGCAGTCAGACTTCAACCGGCAGAAAAGAAGCCTAGAAAATTTCTCTTTACCATTAGTAACACTTTGGAAAAGGGTTTGAACTCACACACAACAGTATACCATTGTGATGCATTGATTTAAGGCAAAAAAAATAAAGCATCTTCTTGGGGTATTAGCACAATCTAGAAAAAAATCCCATGATATTTTGGTCCAGTTTCCCAGGTATTTACAGTAGCAGATAAATATGAAGTCAAGACTTTGAGGCTATGCCTAAGAAGGACATTAGCACAATAAAATCAAATGTGAGTGTTTGCATTCAAAACTAGAAAAAATATTGATAATACCAGAGTCACATGGACTCATTATTTAAACATCATACATCAAGATCTTGACTTCCTTTTTGGGACAGAGGTAAATTTATGTAATCAAATATTTGGGCAGTCTGCTTCCATTACGGGAATATTTTATGTCAACTTGTTGGAATCTGATAAGCCAAATTCAAAAGAGGCTGCTGGGAGGGCTGAGGTTTGTTGTAGCTGGGTTGCATCTGATTCCCCTCACAGCCTCCCACCAAAACAAGCAGCCAATGGACCCTGACCAAACTGACAAGTGCACCGTTCTCAGTGTTCCCCATAACCTACACAGGATGAGTTGCTGCACCCTTAACAGAGTGCAGTACAGGACTGGCAAAGCAGTACTGCTGTAGGAGAGAAATTAAGGACAGTTAGTATGGGCCTGTGGTATTTTGGTACACAATTTTCTTGATAACATATTTCTATTTTACAGAGAGAGTTGTAAAATAAAACTCTACTGAAACAACAACTTTGTACAAAGTGCTCTCTCTACATGCAGGTTGAATATACCTAGACCAAGCCTGAGACATTCAGGCCATTTAAGCTCACAGTGTCAGGGGAAGTGAAGATGCAATAAATATGCAAAGAGGTAAGATAGCTGGCTCACAGCTACAGTTTCTGGTTTTTAGTCCGAGCACTAGTCATCATGATAAGCTACACAGCTCAGCCTAAAAGATGAGGAAAATGTGTAGGAAAGCTGGCCACATTGGAAAGAATAACTTGTCATTAGGGCTGTACCCGAATATTCCACTATTTGGAAATGTATGAACTGTGTGTGTATTCAGTTTAGCAACATGGAATTATAAGAATGTGACAATAATCTACACTGCAATAATGATCATCTCACCTCACTGTTATAAAAAAGCAACTTTTAGCCCTGCCACAACATGCAGAAAGTCAATGGACAGTACTGCTCTATGACAAAGCACCTTGCTGTCCTGTGGTAGCTGCACCCACGGAGCCTAAACTTCTGATTTTATTACAATGACCCTTTTACATACTACCACAATCCCAGCACAGCCATCATCCTTACATGCGTGTGGTGATTTTGTCTGACTTTGCCACAGTAATAAAAATACTGGCAGCTTCCAGTGCTACCTCTCCTCTACCTAGTAGATGCACCTTGGGTATAAATGTACAAATCCCATGTCACCTCATTCTTAGGTTATTGCAATCAGAAACTTCGTGGTGCCCACGCTGCCCGCCCACCCACCCAGTAGGGTGACAACAATACCCCATGAGTCTTTTTTAGCCTCCTGGCGTCCACATATGTGGACATCACATTTTGGGTTGTCTAAACCAAAATACTAAATTTTGCTCTACAAGGGCCTGATATCCACTTACGAGGACATTATACTGCCACTGTTCTATCGAAATTTAAAGCCAATGCGCTCATATATGGATCTAATTTTTTTCAGAAACAAAAATCAGGTAAAAAATAAATAAATAAAAAAATCCATGTAATTCTTTGTTTTTACATTCGTCAGGTCCCAATCAGCCCAAACAGCAAAGAGAAATTAAAAATGCATGCCAAAGAGTTCATGTCTTAGGAGGATAAAATATGAACGTTCTTGCTGTACTACGCTTCACTCAAATTTCTGACCGATTATGTTTAACATCACACTCATAAAATCTGAAAAACACAAAGTTTGATCAACTCTGAATTGCTGTAGCTCAAAAATATGATATTCGGGACAGCCCTACTTGTTAGGCAGCGCTTTACGCTGAGGCCCAAGACAATTTGCAGTTTGACAAGTCATGTTACCGCATCCAGATAATAAATCTCTCAAGTTTCTCTGTTAACTCTTAAAGAAAATAAAATTATGCTTCTGGTTCAACTATCACCAGAGCATATTAATGATATTCCTCTTATATATTTTATATTCACCTATAAAGCTGTGCCCAGTGTGGTAAAGCACAGGACGTGGGCAGCTAAATGAGCTAACCTTCATCCTCAACTTCTGTGACAAGCGGACACTGCACTTTCCCATCATAAATCACATTGGGTTGTTAACCCTTCGACCCACACACAACCCATCTGCAACCCATGTTTGTTAGGCAATAAACACCTAACCACCTCTCCCCCTGAAAAGCATGGTAACCCTATAATACCTTTAACGCATGCACCAAATTAAAATCCCAACAACACTGTCCCAAACTGCAATTACGGAAATGAATTGTGAGCCCACACTGACATTTGTTGGAAACAGTTGGAAATTTATAGTGGGAGAAAAACAGCGACACAAAATGTACATGGAGGAAAGGATTGACCACAGGGAAGGCATTGAGTCTGGGAGGCAAGCTATTGCATTGTGGTCGAAGGGTTGAACAGTAAAAACTATTGGTGCAAAAAACAGAAAAAAAAAA